GAGAAGTTCAATAAACCTCAAACTGCACAACCTCCTATGTCCCCCCACCCCCATTTTGTGCCACTGCAGAAATAAAGTTTGCTTAAATTAATTTCTTTCTAGGACGAATACATGAAATCTGCTTCTGAGTGGCATGGTGAAAAAATAAATGCCATGTAAAGATTTCCAGGATGCAGTAGGTATGTTACATACCATAATTATTATAATAATAATTATAAACAATAAGCATATGTAATAACTTGCATACTCTGTTTTCTGAAAACAAATCATAGCTACTTCTCCTGTATGATATTGCCTATCATAGGAAGGACTGAATTCTGTGATAACAAAATGTGTTCACAGAAACTAAAATTATATATAGGCATTACACACCAAGTAAGCTTGTATAAAAAAATCATTAAGACTGTGGTTCTTAACACATTTCACACATATGTGCAATTTTGTCTGGATATGTCAGTGTGGCACATTTAGGTATATTCAGAATACACGACTGGTAAGAACTGTGATTTAATAAAGCAGAATCTGTATAACTGTACATATTTTTGTACACATACAATCACTTTTTTTTATGTTTTCCCTCTCATTAGAACATGAGTTTAAAACAGGACAAAAAAAAAAAGTGTATCCAAGAGTAAACTGAAAATGTACTATTTTCATTGGTTTTCCCTGGAACCAACATGTATTTAATGCAATTTTATTCGTAAGTTCAAGTTTTAGGCCGACTTAGGCAAATTCTGCAGTCATGCCTTTTGTTAAGTTTATTGTAAATAAAGTATAAATTGTATGGACAAACCATGAAGTATTCTCTACACGTAGAAATCAAACATTTATATCTAGCAGGGAAAAAAGGTGCAGAAACAGTCACTATGCAATTTGATCTAGTTTTAGGTTTTTGTCTTTTTTTTTTCCTTCAAAATGAATTATGTTTTGGTGAACAAAATCTTTTCACTAATTTGTTTACTTTGTGCTGTTGGTTTTTTCAGTAGATGAGAGCTAAGTGCCAGGCTAGTCTTCACCTTTGGTAATAATGATTCTGTTTATGAACAAGAAGAATCATTTAGATGACTAACATAACATTTACACTCATATTTTAATGCCAGTTTTGTATACCTGGTATTAGTCAGTGTAACAGTACTTTTGAAGACTGAAATTTTACACTTTAGAAGAGCAAGGACTTTTTCTTTTTACTTGGTTTGTTTTCTCTTTTGAAAGCCCTAAGTTTTCTCAGTTACTCACTACAGTAATCTAGAAGCTATGCTCGGAAAGGATGGAGCTACATGGTTCCTTGAAAAAAAACCACCCACCACCAATCTAGAAGAGAATTTTCATTTATTATTAGTGTGAAATTGGCAAAGAACAATAAGAACTATGGACCAACTTGTAGCAGTGCAGTCCCCTGTAGCAAAATGCAAGGGGTCACACAATTGCTCTTTAGGATTCTGTCATGCAACAGGTATCTTGGAAATGCTGCAATCCTCTTTCTGGCTATCAAAGTGCAGTCCTCTATCTGGCTATCCATGATACAAACTTATTTTAAAAGAACTTTTAAGTTCCTTTATGTTTTTTTCCACCATAAAACCTATTGTTTTTGCTTGCATTTGCAATAATGCAGACAGAAGATATCACATATTCTCTGTTGGTATTGCTTCCAAAGGCATGATGGTAAGTTTACCAATTAAAAAAAGTATAGTGTGTAGAAGTGAGTTCTGCTTCAAGTGATGTAAATCATCCAAACTGCAATACAAGACTCTTCATACATTCACTGAGAGAGGATGAAAAATTTGAGAATACCAAAACCCAAGTGAAAGATTGTTCAATTTCAATGGAAGAGATTAGATGGTAATTTATAATTCAAAAGGATAAATATTATATTACTTATTACACACCTTGATATCAAGTTTGTGAAATTTATTTCAGAATCAGAAACCGAGTAGCTCAAATCAACAGTTAATACACTGAAAATAATTTTTTCATCTTGAACTTTAGTTAGCACTACTTTGACAGGCTGGTGCCTTCTGGTTTTTGTTTGTATCTCACTGAGAGAACCACAACCTGACACAAGAAAGCAGTATAGGACTTGTATAAACATACTGTAAAAACAATTCTTTCCTTCTTTTTTTTCTCTATTGTTATTCATATTCTAAATTAGACCAGTGAATATTATCACATACAATAATTCAAAACAATCACCTTGTTAGAATGATAGTAGAAATTAATGTGACATTACTTTCAAATACCCGCAAGTAATTCAGTGGTTACCCCACTAATGGGATATTTCACTGCAATAGGTGAAAGAGAACACAAATGTGGATCAGCAATCTGCTTAAGCAAATGCTCTTTCTCCCTCCTTTGTCTCCTATGCGAAAAAAGCAGAGCCCACAGTGGTGTAGGCATGGCACAGCAGGACTTAGCTATAAGTCTCCTACATTTAGTTTCCACTGTTCCTGTACTCTTGCCCACAAATGAAATAGTAATTGATTAAGCACTGAGTCAAGTTAACTAAAAAGAAGAGCAGCATTTTGCCATACTCCTGCCATACTGATGAAATTCTCCATTATACACACTAAAAAAATTTTACTTTCTCAGGTAGAGCTACCCAATTTTATAGTTACATGAAAATGATTTTAAATATTCTAGTTAGCTTGATTTTATAATAGGACATGTTCAGAAACATATTGGACAGACACTGCTTTTACTTAGAAACTTGTATTACAAATAATTTCATATTAAATCATATCTAAATATTTTAAGGTTTGTCCTTTCATTTGCCTAAAGTAGTTAAAATTATATGCAAGGTAAGAAAAGTCTTTGCAACATGCCTAATTTTCTGCACTCTCAATGGACAGCAAAATGAATGGTAAAACTGAAGTTTTGATTTCCACACACATACCCCACCCTCTAGGGAATGTTTGATTTTAAAATCTCTAGATTGAATAGGTAAATGCTAACTAGCATCTGGTGAAAAACAAACAAATCAAAGCTATTCCTTCTCATTATGTCTAGATGAGACATACTCAATGTTCAACAATTCAGTTCAATTTGTAATAGCACAAAATGCAGAGTTAATGTATCTAGCATGCAAAATTGCCCAAACATACACTGCAAACCTCAGGTGCCCTCTCTGAATAAACAACTTAAGAGAATTATGAAATATGAATTTGTATTTGCAGAATCTTTGCTATATCTAATTTCAAAAATAGGTTGGTACAAAATCCAGTGATATCCTGGAACGTTTACTTTGCTCTGGGGCAGAAGTTCCACATACAACCAAGGGTGGAATACACAACACACAGATGTAATTCTGAACCTTTTTAACTTATTCATACAGGCAATGTTTTAATTACTCTAATTCATATTTTTAGATAAATACTTCCTAATTTTTCTGTCCATTGAAATTTTCACTGTGTGCAAGATCTGACACTGCATAGAACACAGCTCTTGCCTTTCACATATAGTTTACCTGACTTTCAATTTTGTTTTTTAAGGCTCAGTATTTGTTACTATTACTTTCTGCCATGCAATATTAACCTGTAAGGTCAGATGTTTGCTTTTCCATGTATACACACATACATAACCTCCCGTTTTCCAAAAAAAGCATTTGGAAACAAAAAGCACTGGACAACAAACAAATCCGAATTTCCAATCAAATGTCTTTCAGCATTAGAAAAGCTTCATTAGCAGGTAGCTTTACACAGAAAAATTGATCCAAAACAATGAATGATGCTACATATCAGAAAAAGATTAAGTGCAACACTGAAAGAGTGCAACTTAAACCAGTGCAAGTGTCCTGTTCTAATAAGCAACTATACTGATTACTGTAGAATATGTTAAAATAAATACTAGTCACTGCCATGTTTCTCATGTCAGTGATTCTATATGATTTGTCACAGTGTAACCCACAAATCTGACTTTAAAAAAGGAGAAAAAGTAATAGCAAGTCCATATAGACTTACAGTAATTACAAACATACATTCAAAACTCCTAAAAAAATAATAAATACAATTCACTGTGATCAAGCTTTTAATTCTATAAGTATATAATTTTTAATAATAGACAGTGAGTTTGAAAGAGATTTAGCCATATTCTATAACAGGCTGTAGAATATACCATTTTTTATACACTTTTTTCCCTGACATTTTTTTTTATCCTCTTCTTAATGTAAACAAGCAGAACCTAACATAGAACTAATATTTTTAATTAAAATCACAGTTCGGTTTTTTTGGGTTTATGGCTCCAAGAAAAGAGTTTTATAGTGTGTACCCCACAGACAAAAATATTGTAGGGAAGAGTTTTAAAGATACTGTGCTTGCACTGAATGAAAAATATTAAAACTTTAGATACAAATATAATACATGGTAGATGTTTAGGCTTGGATGCAAACAATTATTGAGTTTTTATCTTTTACCTCCTGCATATCCTGGCTTTTTGGCATAGATTTCAGCCACATCTGAACCAAAAATACAGAAAAAAGTGGGTTAAAACCAAAGAACTCCAGTATAAATCACATTTTGCCTTTCCTAAAGTTTCCCTTCTTCATTTCCTAGAAAACAAAAAGCATCTAGATGTAAAGTCCTGGCTTCAGTGAACCATAAATCCCTGTAAAAGCAATTCAGAATTCAGGTCAAAATGATGACAGATACATAGCTTTACAAATTACAGCTGTTATGATTTGGGTAGGGCAGGGGGAGAAAAATCAAGCAGTAATTCCATCATAAGCCAAAGTGTTAATGTAACATTAAACCCTTGTGGAAAGCAGGTGAAAAAACTGCATTTGTTATTTGCTTATTATTATTACACATATTACTCTAAAAACTAATTGTACAGTTATGATACTTTATGATGAAGTTTACATGGTAACCATAATGTTCAGCAGCAAAAATTTAAAATCTGATTTTTATAATGAAAATATTATATAATGAATATATGGTTAAATTCAATACTGTATATTTGAAAACTTAATTTTCTTTAAATTCTCTGCAAAGGAAATAGGTTTCACATACCTTTGAAATATTACTTGATCGACTTGTGGAACGGCCTGGGGATTTATCATTCTGGAAAACAAAATTAAAAGATGAAAAAAAGTTACGTTATTTGGATTCTACATAATTGTTTTTGTGATTGTGACTGCAGAGAGTTTCTATTCCTCTATTTTTCTTCAGTTTGGCTACTGACTGTACAATGAAAGACAGCTCAACAAATAAACCACTACAATATTCTTTCAAATTACACGAGTAAAAGTTGAAAGAAATTTCTGTAAGAAATTAATGCTAGCACGTAACTACTGTTGGTTTGTTTTGCAGGTTTTTTTAAAAAAACACACATTTTGAAAGAAAGATCAATGTATCATCAGAGCTTCTCACGAAAACTAGTACTTAGGTATGAAAAGGAATGTTTCAGGACAACTAATAAAAACCTCCTAGTCACACTGGACACATTCCTGCTTAAAAAGTTGCATTCATCCTCTCAACAAAATTAACTGTGCTAGATTACTTCCTGGCCAGATATGTTCTGAGAACAATAAATTGTAACCAGGTAGAGATGTAGTTCAATTTAACACCTACTCCTCCATCCCCTCTCAGCCTTGCAAACAACACATACATACAAACCAACACCATAGGCTGAAATACATTAATAAAGTGTATGTTGAAGAGCTACACTTCTACAGCACATGCTGTTTTCTGGTTTGTTTTCTTTTATTTTTCTAGTAATCCAAAGGAAAGAGTGAAGCAGTGGTTTAAAAATTTGTTCAGTATTCACACTTTTCTTGCAATAGGTTCAGCTTAATTTGCACTAAAAAGGTAAAATATTTCAGAAACAGGGCCCATCCCCTTGGTAAATGCATGTATCTTAAGGAGGTCATGAAAGTATTTTTCTCAGCACTGAGAATGTAGGTTCAAACAGTCAGGTGAAATATTCATGTCAACAAGATTGATTTTTACCTAGAAGGAGTTGAACTAGATATCATGTATGTAGGTTTGTTAGATAATCTACTTGGGGGAACAGGGGATCAAAACCCAAAGTAAAGCTTTCACCTCTGTAGCTTAATTTGCAATTCATGCATCACTGTGGCAGGCAAACATATACATTAATAATTTCATGCATACATGTCCACAAAAGGCTTTCAACTTGACTATGACTCATCTCCCCTCAACCTGAGTTTAAAGAGCTAAGAAAAATACAGGAGCTTCCAGCTACAAGAGGCTCACGTCCAGTCTAGGAATTAGCATTTCCCAAATAATTTGTAGCACAGAACAGCTTTGAGATGGCAAAAATGACCAAAAAAAAAAGCTTAGGCAATTTGTCAGCAAACATTTAGAAGACAGCACTTTTATTTGTCATTTTTGTATTAAAAAGCTGCTTTGATCTCAACTCCAGTAAGCACACCTATATGAAAAAATAATTTTAAAACTACTTGTTGTTCCATATACCTACATATCTCTCTTGCTTCAGAGTGCAGGTAGCTTATGTTTTTATTCCATCCCTCAGTGCCACAATTTTTTTTGCACTGCAAATATTAACACACTGAGCTCTTTCTACTTTGTCTTCACTAGCACTAAATAGACTCTTGCCCTCAAAATCTAGCATCACTGAATTCCCTGACCACACAGTCCTCTCCATTTTATTCTATCATAGCAGCTAATTCTCAGGAGTCAACCACCTTCAGGTTTGTTTGTCAGTCTCATCTTTTTTTAGGACCAATTTTAAAAAAATTACTTCTTCAAGTTATGCATTCATTTATTACACTTTGCCCTTTAGTTTGCCCCCATTCTAAACAGGGAAGTGGAGTAGATGATCCTTTCTGACCTGCAGTATCCTGTGATTCAAATATTACTTCTATGACATATTATCCACTATAGCTCTGGTAATTGTTTATCCTTTCTCAACAACATTATATACAGTTTTGAATGTCTGCATTTATAACCATAGGAAATACAGTCTGGATATTCTGGATAGAATGTTCAGAGGAACTCTGTTTTGACCTCAAAATAATAGAAGTTATGGACCCATGAAATTAATCCCCATTTTGTGGTTCAAAATTATGAACAGGGATCACAGTTGAGAAGCTCCCTGCTGAAAGCATGCAGCCTTAATCCCCATCACTTGGACTAAAAAAATACATTGTATTTTCTGACAGTGTAGTGAACTCTGGAACTCCAACTTCCTTTACCATTCCGTCACTCAAGATTAATTTTCAAAATATGTTTCTTGACTAGAACTCTTGAGGCTTTTTACATAATTCATTCTTCTCTCTGGCACATTATCTCCTTCACTTGAGTTACAAGCTTCTGACTCTATAACTGAAAACTCCCAGCATCCACGCTCTGCAAAGTACTAATTCATACATTAAACAGTCTAAATAGAAAGAGTGCTGGCCCTACAGCTTTTGGAAAACCAAATAAATAAATTTAATTGTCATTACTAGGTTCAGGTATTTCGTGGAGATTTACCCTGAAAAGTACAGGAATAGAACACAAAATGTTGCACTAAAGAACTGTACATCAAAGACAGAATTCTTTATTGAAGTTCCCACTGAACTTGCATGACTATTCACACAAAGAAAGAACAAAATAAAGAAGTTACGGCAGAATCACTTTTGAAATGTGTTCTTAAAGAATATCTGTGCTTCTATTTAATGATTTATCTTTACAAAGTACTCACATTGTTAGGATTAATTGATTTTTGTTATATCTGTAAGTGAAGAGAAACTATCTTTATTGAAGAATGCTTTTCCTACAAGCTTGCTAAACATTAATAATAGGATTCTTTTGCACACATTCAATACTAATTTACATTTTAAAAGTTATCATAGATTCAATCACAGAATATGCAGAATTGGAAGGGTACCATCAGAGTCATTGAGTCCAACTCCTGGTCCTGTGTTGGACACCCCAAGAATCAAACCATGTGCCTGAGAGCATTGTCCAAATGCTTCTTGAACTCTGTCAGGCCTGGTGCTGTGACCACTTCCCTGGGGAGCCTATTCCAGTGCCCAACCACCCTCTGGGTGAAGAACTTATTCCTGATATCCAACCTAAACCTCCCCGACTTAGCTTCATGCTGTTCCCTTGAGTCCTGTCACTGGTCACCGCAGAGAAAAGATCAGTGCCTGCCCCTTCTCTTCCCCTCACTAGGAAGTTGTAGACTGCAATGAGGTCTCCCATCAATCTCCTCCAGACTGAACAGACCAAGTGACCTCAGCTGCTCCTCATACAGCTTCCCCTCAAGGCTCTTCACCATCTTCATGGCCCTCTTTCGGATGCTTTCTAAGAGCTTAATATCTTTCTTATATTGTGGTGCCCAAAACTGCACACAGAACTCCAGGTGAGGCTGCATCAGTGCAGAGTAGAGGAAAGACATATCCAAAGGATGTATCCAAAGACACATATGTTCAAATATCTATTCAATTTTTTGTGTATCAAGGAGATGTTTTATCACATCCTTCTGTCATGGTTTGACAGCACCAAAAATCCAATTCTCGAGTCCTAGCCCCCCTCCCACATCTCAACCCAGTGTGAGATGGGTTTTCCAGACACCACACGAGACTCAAAATGGGGGGAAAGGGATATATATTACAAGACTGTATGACAAATAAATAGTATAATACATCATATACAATCTTAACTCTATCTCTACCATGACATACAGTATTTACAATGGATCAAATCACTTCTCCCTTTCAAATAAAAGTCCAGGAGGGAAGAAGCATCTCTGCCAGTACACACGAGGGGGTCTCCAAGCCCCTCGACCCTTCGACACAGGCGAAGGGTCTTATCTTCCGTGGGCTGTGTTCACCAGGACAAAGGTCACGTCACCACGTCATATCACAAAGCACAGGGGTCTTCACGACGGTCCTTATCTTCAGGGGAGTCAATCCCCTTGCAGAGCTCCCGTGCTCTGACTCAAGACTGCCAGCTTGGCAGTACAGTGGGGGGGGCCAAGGTCACCCACCTCCGCATTCCTTTGGCCGTCCTGGCTCAGCTCTCAGGACGCCTGAGCTTCTTAGCTCCTCTCTGCAGTGCATACTGCACTCCAAGACTCTTTCAAGTAAGAGTCCATCATCCTCACTCTTGGAGGGATCTCCAGGGAGTTTGGGGAGTTCTGGTTGAGTCCTTACCCCAAAAACTCTCTCTCTGTAGTGGCTTAGTTCTCTCTCTGCTGCTCCTCTCTTTCTCTTCAGACAACTCTGTGTCTTCCCTCGGCTGCATGCCGGCTCTGCAGCTTCTTCTTATCTCTTGGCTCTCTGCCCTCCTTAGGCTGCTGCTTCTGCTGCTGCCTCTTCTGCTGTCCACGGTGGAGGAAACTCCTCTGGCTCTCAGCTACAGAACTCGGCCCAGTTTAATGCTGTTCCAAGTTCCTGCAGCCCCCAGCTGGGGGCTGGGTGGACCCAGCCCCCCAGTGGGGCTCCTGCTGCTTCTCCTCGTGGCTTCAGAACATGGCCTCTTCTTCTCCAACAACAACAACTACTTTCTTTTCCGGTCTAAGTGTGATAACGTTTATATTTTGCAGGAGCGCTGATTGGGTCAAACCCCAAGGGTCACCACCCCCTCGGGGATTACCACTTTGTACCTCTAGGGGGGAAAACTCTTTTTCCCCCCACACCTTCCAAACAGATTATTTCAAAGAAAGAAGCATTCACCTTTTAGAATTACACTTCTCAGCAGGAATTATTTAATGTCTGTAATGAGGATTTTTGATGTCCCTGACTGAGTTTTCTAAATTTACACAGACACAGTTCTGGCCCTTTAGCAAAGTTAAAAAAGATATTCAGAGAGATCTCTAAAATTCTTAAACTGTGTTTTGCTCCAGTCAACAAAACAGCAAAACAACTCCTCACAGGACTCCTTCTGGACAGGTATGATCTTTTTGGGTTGTATGTTGTATTATACAGTCCTCAATGAAATGCCCCTCCTTACTACCAGACATCCTGCACCACCAATATCTCATCTCTTCTACCCTGTGTTACATCCAGCAAACACTCATCAGATATCTTTTAAAAAATGTGATGGCACAGAAACAAGTTCCTGTATCTATTCTACTGTAATATCAAGAA